CTGCGATGCCGTTAGTGTCTCAAGCAGGCGGAGGGTGGAAAGGCCGAAAAGCGTCGGGGCAGAACATTCCTGAGGTGTTTTTGGGAGCTTCCGGGAATGCGAAGAGAGCCGCGTGGCGGCGCGGCGATCGCGTGATTACGTGATCGCCGCATGGCAGCGTGGCGATCACGTGATGGACGCCGCGAGATAACGTCTCGTGTCAGGTGGTCTGAGTTACAAGATAGATTGAAACAGGTTTATAATGCGTTTTTTTGGATATTGCGTCATGTATACCTTCATCGTATTATTTTTTTGGTTGGTTACCGTTGAAAATTGTCACTTTGAACCACTTTCAAAAAGTTTTTCGATCCTTCTCGCTCTCCCGTGCAACATGGCCGCCAGCGTCTGGTCTGGCTTTTCAAACGAAGTGTCCGTGCTGTGGTCACGTGGTTCGTGGCGCCAACTGGTGTTGCGCAGAACGAGCAAAAGTCGGTGCGCCGGAGTATCTCTCCCATGTGTTGCCGCGATGGTCACAACACCATTCAATAATCGAGATATCGCATCAATATCGATGTACATGAAATCAAAGTGCGCCCGTCGAGCGTCCTCTCTGGCGCCTAGTTGCAAGACAAGCAGCGCACCATTCCACGCTCGTAAGTTCGTATCATGCGTTTAATAATGGCCGCGCGTCCCTGTACGTTAACATGGCGGCTCCGTGCGGCTTCGTGCCGCAACGTTCCTCGTCATCACCCAGACTCCTTGTTGGACATGCTATTGTGTTGGAATTGTGTTCCACACAGCAAAATGTTGCGTGTTGAGGCCTTGTTATTGTATAACAGTTGAAATCAATAATTAAAATTTTTGGAAGTTTTCTGTTCAATTCTCGGTGGTTATTGCATTGGACAATTGAAATTGTTAAATATTTTACGAGAATAAATTTAAATCTGCTGCTAATTTTGATTTATTAATGCTAAATTTGACTTAATTTTTTGAATATTTTTGTATTAAAAATGGTGATTAGTATAGCAAAGAACAAACATTTCGATTTTTGGCTAGTGTAGTGTATATATTAATTAATTTTGAAATTTTCTGCATCACTCGACAATTATATTTGGGATGACAAATATTGTATGTATTATTTTATAAAATTTCAGGACAGAAGACATCTAGACCAACGTCCGTTGTAGTATAGTTGGAGATTTTGGACAAGGTGAAAGGCAAGAAGCCATTGCAAGACTCAATTATTATTCTTGGTCAAAATTACATTTTACATTTACTTTAATAAACAAAAACTCTTTTGTAAAATACGTCTATTTTCTGTAATAATACTTAGGGTGATTTTTCTGCTTATTTTTATTTAGTATTCTTCAGGAAATTTTGGTTTCGAGGTTCCCTGTCAATATCAGGAATGGTCTATAAAATTCTGAGTTCTTTGTTCTTATCATTGTATTCCATCTAAACTAAGTTAGTTTTGCCATGTGCAAATCCAGAATTAGGGCTTCTGTCATAATGCAACAAGCTGAACTCATGGATTATATTCTTACCATAGATTCTTATCAACAAAAAATCCTGAAATTTACAGATTCGACAAAATGTTTGATATGTTTTGGATATCGATGTGTAATGGAGGCAGTGATTGGCAGAATCGAAAATACGTATTTTCTCTACTTTTATAATTTGTAATTTGTATCGAAAATACATATTTGAACATGTATTTTGTGTTTGTTTCGAAAATACTTTCTGATCGTATTTTGTATTTTCGAAATACACGAATACTTTTTATTGTTACGCCATTGAAAATTTGAATTTACGAAATATTCAATCAACGCTGGAAAACACAAACATCTACCACATATATTTATGATACTTTGAAGCAGTTTGTCATTCACTACAGCATTATTTAAAATAACGTTTTTGATTACACAAAATGTTTATTAATTGAAGAAAATTATTTCCGGAAGCTCTTCTAGAAACCACTTTTCAGACGTTATATTATATTGTGATATTCTAATTGTTCCTTTAGTGACATAAATCCACTAATAATAAAAAAAACAACAACAGAAATATCCATTTATTTATTTCAAGGTCGATGATTTTATGGTAAACACTATAAACTTGAAAATAGTAGCTTACCGTTTGAATAAAAAACATTTTCAAGATTCAAAGCAAAATAAAAAATTTATTTCTAGCATTAAACAGTGTTTAAGAAAAGAAACAATAGCAACGAGAAGAGTTTGACATAAACAATTAAACGAGAAACAACTTAACGGTCCGTTTGTATTCCAATATACGTTCTCCCTCTCACGTGCACAGGTCGTCAAACATCACTGATATCCTTCCCAAATCCTTCAGCTTCTCCAAGACGTGCACTCCCTGTCGACGATTAAGTTACTCTGTACTCACTTCCGACTGAACAACGTTTTACAGTTCAAAAATTTCATCGTCCAACCGATCATATATCACATTGAGCTCAGTAAGACATTCATTCCAATTCTGATTATTATTTTTTTTCTTTATTTAGGGGACTTGTCTGTCACTATGGTATCCGTCATATCATTTTTATACAGGTGAACCGTGCATACGAAATCGAAAGCCTTTGATCAACCTGACTTGTTACAATATTGTCACATAATGTACTACCACCTATCTAGAAGGTGGTTGTGCGCACTGGTTAAAAGCTTGTGCTTGCTTCGTGTAAAGAGCTAATCTTACGATACGAGTGTGAAAATTGATAAATCATTAAAATAAGCTGTTCTAAATGGAATGAATTCCACTGCTATTGAAGAGTTGGGTGCAAAAGTAAAAGCGTCACCTGAAGCCTGCCAAACAGACAATACTAAGTGGTTCCGACAATGCATTCACAAGTTTTAAGACACACTAAAAATAAGCAGTAATATTATAAATTTTAAAATGCACACCATACTGTACAACAGACTGAATTTCTCTGGTCATTCTTTTTATTAGGAACTGATAATTTATTCACACTTCACAAAGAATTCATCTTGTAGTGATGAGTGAATTTGAGAACTCTAAAAATGAGTAGTCCAGAAAAAATTTGCTTGGGAGGAAACTAAACATTCCTGAGAATAGAGACACGAATGGCAAGAAGTTAAAACGAACAACCATAACATCTTATTTCTTCAATACGTGGGGAAAAGGAAAACCCCAAATAAAATTCTATGTTAATGGAATGAAATCTTTTTCCATTACAATTAATGAAACAATGATAAAATATTTGAAAATCTACTAGTGTTGGTGGGAAGCGTGACCAATTGTATACAATTATAAACCATAACCAAGTTTTGAGAAATAAATTGTGAAACTGAATCGCTATCAGTGGTATTTTTAAAAGTATTTTAAAATACTATTTTTATCAAAAAACTTTTAAGGAATTATTTTGTATTTTTGACATCCTTTTTTAATATATTTTGCTAATCTCTGATTGGAGAATTCGGTAGCCTTGCCATAAGATTTGTTACAGCTCTTCAAATAAAGGCAAGTTGCTTTTATCTAGACAGTTATCTACTAACCACATAGTAATCTTAATTCCTTCTGGTAAACAAAACTAAGTCATTATCGAAAGTGAAATTGCTCGCCAGCGTTACATTTTTCTTACTGTAAATAGTGGAGTGACCGCAGCGTTATATAGTGAGTTTGAATCTCGCTTTTCAGGAGGAGGTAGTATCTACCCAAAATTCTCCAAATTTGCGTTAAGTAATTTATGGACTCCCCCTTATTAGACTTATCATATATTTGTGTTGCAAAGCCGGAACTCAGTAGAATTAGTGCGGTCTAGTAAGCCTCATCTTCACTCTTCTTGTCATTGTTCCGTCAATATATTTTCAATAATTATCGAAAAAATTTATTTGCGTATCGGCCATTTCTGACTGTGCCACACGGTTACCGTGTGTAACTATGAGAAATAGATTTTTAGCTTTGTTACCCCTTGGAACTATGGGAATAATTAAAGGTACACAATACAAGTATTTGGGAGTCACACTAACAGGAGATGGTAGAGTCTAACAAGATGTGAAAAATAAAAATACAAGAGAGAAAATAGCAACAAGACAGTTCAATCCAGTGCTATGGAACTCAATTATTTCAATGAAGACAAAGAAACGCATATATAGCTGCTTCATCGAGAGTTCAACACTCTATGGGACAGAAGTCTAGACACTAACAAAAAATATGAAAGACAAACTTCAAGCAACAGAAATGTTCTGGCGAAGACGTCGTCAACTTTTCTGTTAGACAAAATTAGAAATTATGAAATAAGAAATAAAATGAAACTACAAACAACCTAGAACGATGTGATCGAAATTAAACAACAAAATGGTATGGACATATGAGAAGGTTGAAATCGGATGCCTTCCACAATGAGTTTGGAAATGGTTACCCAATCGAAGAAGAAGCGGGGGAAGACCGAGAAGAACATGGAACATGGCAATAACTGAAGCCATGGGAAAAAGAGAAATGGAGGAAAACGATGTATGGGATAAAGCGGCATGGAAATTGTGATGCGGAAAACGGCCAAGGCTGTAAAAAAACATACCCCTAAATAGATACATACCCCTTGGATTGCGAATTATGAGGATGATGAGGTGTTGTCATGTTCGTTAGATCGAGACTGGGTAGAAGAGTAAGGTACATGAGGCATGGCCGCGAATACGCTCAAATACGTTTATTAGAAATGTAATGTTAAAGTACATGTTTCGTAGGAAATAGTATCTACTTTAATTTTTTATAAAACAATTGTTTCGTTAAACGCGTAGTTTTGAAGATATAAGCGAAAAACTAAAAACTGGGAGTGTTTTGAGGGATTTTTGCAACTTTCTCTGTGATACCACCTCAAAAGGTTCATCAAATTCGAATTTAGAGCCCTCAAAAACATAGAGTCGTTGACAAAAAAGCTTCCTATTTTTTTCCTGGATCCGGCCCTTTTAAGCACCAATTGACTGGACTCATTATATATATTTTTTTTCCTGGATTATTTGAAAGAAGAAAAGGCGGCAGTTTTTCGCATGCCTTCAGGCAACAAAGTTGGTAATCCACCTCTGTCAGAATTGTCAACTGGTTTAAAACATTATTGGAAATTGAAGACAATGTGTATCAAGGATTTGACCGAAGATAGTTGTACGATCCACAATAATATAATTGGTAAGTAGGATTCAACATAATTCCTTCTTCACCGTTGGAGGTTCTACGAGAAAGTGTTTTATGTCGTAGCACCAGGGGCCCATTTCACAGAAGTTACAAGTCCACAAGTTACAAGAGAATTCACTGTTAACTGGTGAGAACCGCAGCAATCGCATTTCACACTCATATTAGAAATAACTATTAGTTGCAAGTGAATGCCCAATAGTTCACTAGTGAAATTCTACAAGAAACAAGTTTTTCTGTTTCTCAGAACTTACTAATAGTCTAATACGATTATAAATGAGCAGCATTTTTTTTACAAGTCACCTGTGGAGTTCATCGATTTACGATTACAAATGACGATATTTTTATATTTGAGCGTTCATACGTATTTACAATTTAAAAATAGCCGTTTTATCTTATTAGTGAATTATACAATATTACGTGTCTTATGCTCTCGAGTTTTCTCCAAAACGTACATTTTGTTGCCTTTAAATGCCATTGCGAAGAAATGTAATAATAAAATAGAAAAGTAAGAATAAAATGTAAGAAGTAAGTAGAAGGAAAGTTCAAAAAATAATGGAGTAATTTTAAAATGAACATGTGTTATCTATAAAGAGACGACTGAAATTGAAGTAAAAAGAAAGGGAGGAAAATACAAAGAAATAGAACGGTTAGTAAAAACAAAGGCTAAAACAAACAACGCCAGGGACAATAAAACATACAAGTACACATGCAAAACCAAAAGACAAAGACGCGAGGACACAAAAACACAGACACAGATTATTTTATTTCAAATAATAATAATAATAATAATAATAATAATTATTATTATTATTATTATTATTATTATTATTATTATTATTATTATTATTATTATTATTATTTTCATTGAGTCACATATACAATTGCAATCGCGTATGACGAGTCAAATACGACGTATGAGGAGGGAAAACTTTTGCACATATTTTCTTGAGCGCGGAGAGTGAAGTTACATTTACTGTCCAGAAGCCACATAAGGGGTTTTCTCAGCATTTGCTCAAATCAAAGAGACTATAACCTTTTTGGCTCAAAAGGCCAGGGAATAGAATTGATGGTAATTCACTTGTGTGCATTCCACATGGGATTCACTTGTATTCACAAGTGTGGTAAAATCTTTGTGAAACAGAACTTGTGATTACTAGTACGAGAAACGTGTAACGTGTAACCTGTCTCGGATGCTCAGATCGACTTCCTATGAGGTCCGGGTTCGATTCTCAGACAATATCGTATGGAATTTGTTCCAACAAATGGAGTTTGCCTACTTGCCAGGGGCTAGTCCAACCCCCGTTCAGTGTCCTAAACCCTACCCCTACCCCTACCCTTGTTCCTTCCCAGTTCTGACCGCTGAATAGTGACGCAGGACCGTGTAGTAAGAGGTGCGAACGCGAAGCTACCTGGCGGTCCTCTTGATAACTGACTGCGACGAGATGTGACATAATGTAATGACAGATAATATTAATGGATGATTACTCTAAGCGCAAAGCGCTGAAGTTCCCCCAAAGAGCTTGGAGACGGGTTCGTTAATCCAGACGCAATAAATGTTTAAAAAAAAAACCCTTTGTGAAATGTGCCATAGCTGCCTCGGATTTGGGATCATGTGGCCATCGCGCTGCCATGTTTTATGTAAGGTCCGAGAAGCCCAGGTTTGTGATTTAGACAGACTTAAGCGACATCTGACGATCTAAGTCTGTGTGAAATAGTACATCAGACGTTGTAGCTCCATGTGAAATCTGATTTCTAACTTCAAATTAATCTTGAATGCAAATGGATGAATCCAGAGTCGGTGAGACTGAAACTTCAACGGGGTCCTCAGTATCTACCTCAAATACAAAAGAGGGTAAGGCACGAAGTTTTTTAAACCTCTGAATGAAAACATTTTATAATAAAGCTAAAGTTCACTTAGATTGTAACGAATAAAACCAAATATGTTTGATTCTCCTTTTGTGTTCTTCTTTACAACTTTTTGCATTCTTAAAATTGGTCACTACTGCGTTATGATCAAATTAAATTGCATTTCAAAACCCCTATTTCAAAAACTATAATATTTTAACTCATAATTTAACCATAGACATTTTTAACTATAAGTAAAGCTTTTGAATTCGTTACAAATAGTTTATTATATCTACCTTTAAAAAGTCTATAAACGGGAATTTTATTTTTTGGGGGTACTACTTTTGGAAAAATGTGCTGTACTTACCTTTTAAGTAAACCTAATCTTAAATTTATGATCTAATGACATGTATAAAAAAAGTGTGTCTAATATTTACATAATAAATTGTTCCTAGAAAATTAATTTAACATAAAAATGCTATTTAAAAATTCAATGACATTAAATGTTATTATAAAAAGTAATAACATTGTATTTAAAGGAAAAGTTGCAATTAGTATTCAGCATGAAAAGTACTTGAAAGATATGGCAAAAGATTGGGAAAAATTGAATGTTTTGTTACCAGTAACTAATGATGTGATATTACTTTTTGAAATTAAAATTTGTAAGTCTAAAAATGAATTTCAATATATTGTTTTTTGTTTTCTTTTGTGGTGTTTTCTCTTGAATTCATAAAATATTGCAGATGTTAAAAGCGAAGCAGATCCTTGTTGCTGTACATATGACGAAAAGATTGAAAACTGTTCAAAATGTTCACATTATTTTGTTACTGGTAATCGTAGGAAACTTGACGATTAAAACGGTAATAAGATCCGGCAGTGTAATGATATTAATTTGAAAAAGATATTGTGACATTTAGTTTAGTGAAGTTCTGTGAATAAGATTTAATTTTGCTTAAAATAAACTATATATTTTAAACCACAATGTGTATTACATATGCAGTGTAATTGTTATAAGTATTATTATGTATGTAACAATAATGTTTTATTATTATTTAATTATTTTGAGTTCCTTGTTTCACTTAATCTCTGTCATTAACAAATGAAACTCACCTTGCTCCCAGTTGTACTGTAAGCAGAAAGAATTCCCTTAGCTTCAGGACTGGATAATTACCATTAAGTAGAGATTTATCAGGAAACCATAAGAAACAAAGCCTGAGAAGTTTGTGCCAAAGTGAATGACAACAATAAGAAGAGAATAGTAGGAACAGTTTTAAGAGAATAATTTTGTATTTATTTGGATGTATTGCTATTCAGAATGTAACCTTAATGTTATATGGTGATCAAAAATCAAAATAAAATAACTAAATTCTTCTTCTTCTTTTGAGTCAACAACAGCTAAATTCTGTTTTGCAGGTAAAAATAACTAAATAAAGGAGTTACTATTTATACCTGTGAACATTGAACACATTTTAATCAAAGTTATCATTAATCAAAGTTACCAGACTCCTGGTGAATTATTGGTGAAAAAGAACTTGAAATTGAAATCTCAAATGAATGTAAGAGATACTATTAATATGCACAGTGTGAATAACTCTTTTTAAATTTTTTGTACTTTAAATGCCTACATGTAAATACATAGGCTGACCATTTATGAAATATTAAAATGCTTCTTTCTACCTTTACTCATAATAGTGTGGTGAAAGAGAAGGTAGAGCTTCTGAAATTCAAGATGATGTGCACAAGTGTACTTTCCCCATATATATCATATTTGTCTCTTCATATGATCATGATTGAAATTGTATACATGCCTCAATATTGTTGTAACATACTTGCTAGTAATGACAGTGTGGAAAAGTACTAATTTACAGCAAAAATTCTTGCACAAGTATTCAGATCACCCTAATCACTATTTTGATTTATTAATGTTGGTTTTGGAGTATGCAGATAAAAAGAACCTTCAACGTTTTCCCAGAAAATTGGATATTACAACAGTAAGTAATATGGAAGAAAATCATCAGTCATCTCAAAAGGAAAGAAATCAGTCATATTAAAAAAGAGCATTATGCTATTTTTATCATGTGATCATCTTCTAAATAGTTGTACTGGATGATTTAAATAATATACCCATGCAGAAAACAAAAAAGAAATTAAGAATATGTATTGTATTACCAAATAACAATCATGTTTCAAGAAAGGCTAAATAGATGAAATTTTCTTTTTTATAGACATCCTGTCTCCTTTAAGCATTATTGACATGAATGAAATCTACCCAGAAATATCTTTTAAAACTCTTAACTGTTTTATCAGCACTTCCCCACAAGCAAAAGGTTTTTCATCTTCAACAACCCTAGCAACTTTTATCCTTTCCCAACTGATCCATCGTCTCTTCAACCCAGCTTCCCACCTCAGAGACCAGCACAAAATAGGGCCTCACTACCACAGTAATCTGGGCAAGACTAAAACGCCAACAGAAGACTATCTTTCATTCAAAATTCTTATATTAGTGGATACCTGTGATAGGAACCTTCCCTCCACACTGAAAGAAACTTCCATTGAAGTTTTAGGTTACTGGTGTTTTCAAATCAAGTGCCAGGATGGCACAAGTAATAGAAAACTTAACACACATTCTAGCTCCTTCAGACATGATACATTAATAATTATAAGTGGAGAGAATTACCTAAATTATGGCAGTAAAATATAACCCTGAAGAACATCGACTACAAACTTCCAGACCTACAAATGTCATCATGATAACTCTGCAACCCTGACACATTTCCACGAGGTTAAAATGGCTAACCAGCATCTAAAACATCTTTTGGGAGGACACCAATTACATTACTTGTCCTTAGGAGCCTCTCAAAAATCTACACCCCCTCCCCGCTTCACCATCACAACACCAATTCCATTTCCACCTTCCCTCTTCCCTCCATCGTTATCTTCTTTCATATCACTTCTTAAGAGACTGTGCAACAGTTGAGGTCATTGCAGTGCCTCCGAGCAGAAGGACCTAGAGTTCGAGTCCCGACGGTGGCAGGATTTTCCACCCATTTCGGGAACTACGTTTTCGACACTAACTAGGTCGACTTCAGTCGCTGTCTGGAGGAGAATTTTAGCGACCGGCTGCTCTGGTCGGTTGTTTTCCGTCGTTTCTCCGACCAACACGAAACGAATGCCGGAGCAGTACAGTGACAAACGGACCCCGCGCGATCTTTCCTTCCTCTTCCTTGTCCTAACCTCATCCCTTACACACACTTACACACCATTGCAGTTTTACCAGAAAAATAACTTTATTTTAATATATGTACCACAGCTCCAAAGGAAACAAACGTTAACTAAAAGAAGTCTTGAAAGTGTTCTTGATAAACTTAAAAAACTCAGAAATTATAAAATTATATTATAAGGTGATTTCAATTAAAACTGTCTATTGAAATGAAAAGATGAATTCTTTAAAAAATTACTTGAATCTTTCAACTGACAAACTTCTATAAATCAACTGAGTATTAATAGATACTAATGATTGCAACTATTCAGATGTTACATTTAATTCAGGCTTTAGTGACCACACAGGCCAATTCTCAAGCTGCAAAGTTGAAATACAAAAATTTTAAGATACACTTCATAGAGAAACTCAAAACATTTTGTAAGAAAATCTAGATAAATTTAACTTGTTCGTCAACATATTTCCAAATTATTTCAATTCTAATGTTCCAAAGAAAGTTACAAAAATAAAAGTCAAAACACAATAAGCAAGCAACAATCCTTCACAGCATTAATTGTAGTTCTGATTGCATTGCTTACTACAAAACACACAAAAATATTCTGAAGAAAGCAATTAAACAAGTCAAACTGCTAATGAATGATAAACTAAAGCACTAAATAAAAGGAATGTGTAACATTGTGAAACATAATCTAAAAACAGAAAATTGAAAAACAAAGTACTTTGACCTTACAAAAATAATGTTCTGCACAACATTAGAGAAAAGTTTATTCATCAAAATTCTTTAAACATGCAGTCAAATACAAAAAGTCAAAGTAACAAGATCATGAAGGCATGTTATGCCATTTACATCCTTAAATCAAATTCGAACTTGGATACACTCCAAACAGTTTACTCTGCAAATGTCCATTGACATCAAAAATATGAAATCATATTCTGGGGAATTTCCCCAGAAAGTACACTTCATCATCCAAAAACGAATATTGAGAATAATGACAAACACTAATAGTCGTGATTCCTGCAAACCTGCAACTCTGTTCAAATATTACAAATCCTATCATTCCCATGCATGTATATACTTGATATAGTTATCTTCACAAACTAGAATGAAACCCTTATGAGAAACATTTGTTCTGTTTCTCTTAATGCAGATGTTCCTAATTATTATGATTCTAGACAAAAAAAGAAATCTGCATGCTCTCACAGTGAAACTGCACTCTATCAAAAAACTGTCCTTAGAGAAGGCATTACTCTATACAACAATCTTTGTAATGAATTTGCAAGCCTAAATACAATACACACATTTAAAAATAAGCTGAAAACTTTCTTGATAAACTGCCGATTCTACAGCACATAAAAGAATATAATCACAAATATCCATTTGCACCTTGAGAGATCTCTTCAGAAACTTCCAATCCCTTAATGTATTTTGTTCTGTATTTGACATCCGAAAAAATGATTATTGGACAGGAAGGACAGATCAAGCCTAGGCTTTAAACTCATTTCCAATTTTCTTTTTTTCCCTTTTATCATTATTTTTAATTTTATTCATCTAACACTTACACTTGTAAAATTTATATTCTTTATTTTGTTTTAGATTATTATCTGTTGCAAATTGCATTAAATTTTTGTGTTATATGTACATGAGAAAAAATGGATGATAATAATTGATGGATTGATAAATTTTGATGTATTTATGTGACAAGTAAATTATTATTAAATTACGTTATATTACATTATATTACACATACACAAATAGACAGTACTTGTGGCAGATCCAGAGAGTAACTATGCCCCCACCCCCCCACCCTTTCAAGACCAAGAAAGAGAAATTTTTAAATTTGGGAAAATTGTATAGGAAAAATAAAAAAGAATAAACATAAGAAAATATTGTAAAAATACAAGAAATTTGATAGAAAACCCCAAAATTTTGAAAACCCCGCAATCTATTAATAAATATGTGACATTCAAATTATTGCACTGTTTTAAAGTGAGGTGTTTTGTTTCATTAGAGCATTGCCATTTTACAAAAATAAAGCTGCTTAAATTTCAGCAAAGTTTTGTTTCTCTAAGAAACTAAAGGTTTCAGATGGCAATACATTTTAATTATAGCAGTCAATTCATTGTTTATAATTTAAAATTTATACAATTTAAATTATATATTAATATTATATTATTTTAAAATTTATAACATTTTAGAATGTTACCAGAGGTAATAAGAACCATGAATAGCCAGCAAGGAGTATACTGGGGCATTTTTTAGATGTGCAAAATGTGGGAATTATCCTAATTCTTTTTCTTTTTAAACAAATCACTATTCTTTTTACTACAAAAAGAAGGCACTAAAATACTTGCCACATTCCACAACTCTTCTTTGACAAACAGTGGTTTTGCTTGACAACAATTACCATTTCATTGTCAACAAAATACCAAATTATTAATAAATAACAACTGCAAATGTATCAGAAACCAAAGCACACATCAGATAAACATAAATGATCACTCATTGCCTCTCTGCCCTCGGTATCTGATTGTCAAGGTCAATAATAATTCATTCAACTGCCTCTTTGGTATGTGTAAAATATTTTGTATCTTGACAAAATATTAAGAATTGTTTATAACTGTATGAAGTGGGAAAGAACAATACTAATACAACTGTAATACAAATATTATTTGTTTATTTGGTTTACTTTCATCTTAAATTTATTTCTTTCCATTTTTAATTTCTTTTATTAAGTAAATTAACAAAAAAAAGCTATCTTGAATTGAATGCTATTTGTAATTTTATTCTAAAGCCAACTGCTGCATTCTCATTTAACTTACCTGTTGAAATTATTTTTTATATCTTTGTTAAGACCAATTTTAATAAAGTATTAACAATTTGTGTTTACTCTTACATCTCTGAATTCTTCTGAGCAATTGAAATATTTGTGATTCCATCATTTATGAAAAATCGTGTTTGACCCAGTTTTCCTTGATCTCAATAAGAATCTATTGCCTTTCAATGCATATCTGTTGGTTAAGATATCTCATATCTTTTGCAGTGGAGATTCAAACTAACCCATATCCAATGGAGCCATGTGGGTGTGCAAGCGTTGATTTAGAAGCTGTAAGCAACATAGTGAAGAAGGAAATTCAGCGAACTGTAGAAGCAATCGTGATAAAGATGGTGCTGGAGAAGGAAGAAGAGTTGGAACAAATAAGAAAATTCATGGAGGTCAATTTGGAAAGAATGAAGCAAAAGTGTTTATGTAAGATGTGTGGTGAATACGCCCAAACATATCATTCAAATGCCTACTACTGCAGTAAAAAATGTGAAATAGAAGATGCTGCATCAGATAGCATCAAGCTTGAGCAATCTGATTTAACTATGTGATTACATGAAGTGATATACGTTCAATCTACAACCTACAAACAACCCTTTCAGTTACAGTACAATTTCAACCAAGCAGAAAACATTGTTATTAATCAGTGGAGGGAGCAGTAGTGCCATTTGCATATTCATTCCTTATTTCTGAAGTATACCATCCAACCTTTTTTTAAGTTCTGGTGAATCATGGCACTTTGTGTGGTTGACAGATTGAACAATTCGCATTAGTTGTATGTTATTGCTGGGAGAAAAACCAGTTGGTTGTTTATTGGCATTATTTTCTTATTTTTTATCATATCTTCATATGCTCCCTGTGTAATGGAGTTTTGTATGGTTCACAGATTGAAAATTTTGCATTAGTGGTATGTAGTTGCTGAGAGATGAATTTGTTGGCTGTTTATTGTCATTATTTTCTTGTGTTTTTTAAATAAAATCCTTGATTACTCCATGTGTAAAAGAATGGTCTGTGAAAGATGATTTGCAAGGAACTCTACCAGAAGGCTGTTGGCCAAAGTGATAGACGGCAATGATTAACTAGCTTAACAGAGGACTACTCTATATTCATCACCAGGAAGTGTTTAGAGAATGGTTACAGAAAAATTTACAGAATTCCCACCCCACAAACGAAACAGAACCGCCACCTCCATGAATACTGACTCACTGCCCACTCTATTGACAGGATACGTCTCCTATACCGTTGAGACTTTTTCCAGTAGAGTAGTCTTTTGGAATCTTATCAATACATTTTTTATAGGAATTGAAATGGTAGTCTTTGCATTGTAAACCTTATTTGAAGATTCCTTTCAAAAGTTACTGGCAAATAAAGAAAAATAGTAGGTGTAGTATAGGAATGCAACACAAAAGTATTGGAAATCTTAATTAGTGAAGTCTCTTTCTCTAACCATGATGAATCACCTGTGAGTAAGGGAGAATGACACTGCTTGGTAGGGATTTTAACAGCTTTGGGGGCTCCCTTATTCTTACTTTCACCAATCTCTTCCCCCCAATTTTGATGTTGAAATGTAAAGAAAATTCTATTAATTCACACAGTAATAGTTATTTTTAAAATATTTTGAATGCATTTCTTAGAGTTTTAAATTAACACTATCCAAACAGAAATTAAACATATTTGTAAAAGAAAGTAAGAATATCAGATTTATAATTAAATTGAAAATTGTGAAAATACAATATTTTTCTTAATGAAATATGTTAATAAAAATTGGTCTTCAAGTAAGGTCATGTTGCATTTTTTGTGTAATTTGGTGACAAGAATAACCCACCCAAATTGACTGCGTTTCGTTTTCGGCGTTTTCTTATAACAACAATTGTGAAAATACATTTTTTTAATGAAATGCGTTTATCAAAAATAGATTTTTAAATAAGGATATGATAAATGTTTGGAAAAAGTTACTATTCATTGTGTAATTTGGCGACAAAATTAAATGCCCACTAAGAATTTACTGCGTTTCTTCAACGATTCCAGGCAGTTGATGCTTCGTAAGTCAGAATTTGTATATTATTTAATATTTATTTTTTCGACTCTTACATTCGGCCTTTTGTTATTCATTTACACAGTTATCTTTTAGAAATCATTTAAACCCTATTTAAAATATATAAAATAAAAATTACTGGCTTTCAGGGAATAGCAACAATGCAGAGAATGCAACAATGAATTCTGCGTCGCACCCGCGAATTCTTGTGAATTACGCCTCATTGTTCAGACATGATTTAGCTGTATGAAAAGGAGTTGCAATTGTCACATTTGTGTTGCTTGAAAATATTTAGTTCGAAATGCTTTACCTTTTGGCATGGGTAGACCACGAAACTTCATGCATAAAAAAAGTTAAAATAACGCTTGCAACCATGCCCTTAAAATAGCCAGTATACGCACTTAAAATTCAGAATATACGTTAAACAAAACTAAAGTGAGCAGCAGATAACATTTATTTATATAAATATTTTGTTTTACTCTGTAGTACAAAACATATAATAATAGTCGTGTATGCAATTAATTTATAATGTTAAGCTTTATTGCATGAGTACATGTTTTGAAAACGGGCGACTTTCGGAGCGAGTTTTCAAATTTGTACGAATGTAATAAAGCAACATTATAAACGAGTTGCATAATATATTTTTTTGTATAACAGAATTATACTTTTATTAGAGAATCAAACTTAATTTTGCGAAACAACTTCCCTGTGACGACTCGGGTATTTGACATCGTGCGAGTAAACGGTGGTCGGCTGTGCCGTTTAGCTCTACCTCCCACCGATTCTCTCGCTACAATTGAATGTGTGATGATGCTATCATTCGTGACATAAAATCTAATACGTCATCATCTGTGACGTAAAATGCCAGATTATGAACGATTTCTTGCAATAGAAAAGGTTCTTTTATAATGCTGGAATACAAAAGAAAATATATTTACAAACATTATAATAAACAAAAAAGATATTAAGCAACAAAAATGTCTCTTTTTAGTCCACTTCTACGCAAAAACCTGGAATATATCATCTTAAATATACCACATACATAAACATTTGCAGTTAATGAAAAAATCCCAGAAATGAGCAATTATGCAAAATAATATTTTTGTTAAATTTTTGGTGTTATGTAAAGTTATATGCAGTCTACAGGTATTTGTTATTTGCAGTTGACACTTATTTTTGAGGAACACTTATGTGTTTACTTATTCGCATTTTCAATTCATAAACGTCATTTAAGTGTTTGCTTAAGCTTTCACTTATTCTTATAAGCGAGCTTATCTGAACCCTTATTTTTCAACGTGGATTAACATAGATTTTTATGAGTTTTTGGAATTATTGAAATTATTATGTAAGATTGTATGCCAAAACAATATTCGAGAGACATGGAAAATTCTTTGGAAATGCATAGGCAACAATAATTTAAGAAGATATATAGTTTTGATACGGATTTGCTTGTAAACATTAGTGTGTCTGTTGGTCACTCACAACATGGGCTTGAGGAATAGAAGATAATCATTACCACAATTCCTAAAAATGCTAATGGGACACATATTATGCAACATCATTTCAGTTTCATAATTTATTGATTACAATTGTAGACCACCGGAGTGTATTTTGTAGGTTATCCTACGATAATCATGTTTTATAGCTTATCTTATAATAATGATCACAAACAGAAATATCTGAAGTGGTATCAAGAAATTAAAAGATTTAGCGGTCATTCAAAATATCCGTTAATCATTAGTAACAAAAAATCAAAATTAATCAATCGCTCGTTTTGATAGACAAAATATATGTAAATCCATTTAAATAACAAAGTTACCTCATACCTCATAAAATGCAAGTGATAAAATAGAAATTAATACAATGTATCAATTGTCCCTATTCTCTCATGCACTTCGTAAAAACGGCATTGCAATAACTTTAACTGTTCAAAAGTTACAGAATCTTCTAAAGTTACGTGATTGTTATTGAATGTACTGCGGACTCGTCACACGCAAGGAAAGTGCTTCTTTGCAAAGCTGGCTTAACATATTTTTGAAAATTTATTTTCACACCAATCCTTGGAAGTTGTGATACACCTTTCACAATAAATTGCGCTGCCACTGATTGCATTCAGGGTTATTTAAAGAGGAGATTGATTTATTTAACACGTCAAGAATCACAATTATCTTCCCATCATAAATAAATATTAACATACAATCTTTCTAAACGTTAATAAAATATAACCCTTACACTGGATACCTGACAATTCAGTTTATTCTGAAAATTCGTAAGAAAATAGCACAAACAACTTCTGTTTACGTTCAATGAAAACACACAGGCTCTAGTATTGGGAAGTCTGATGCAGCTTTGGATGTTTCTCGTATTGTAATAATCTGCAATCAAAAGCGATATATTTTTCACAAACGTCATTGGAAATCACAAGATGTGAGATTATTGATTTTTTATTTCTGATGTCTAATATATTCCTCTATTATTGTTGTGAAATTCGGAAGAGGCCTACGCAAAGGATTAGAAATAATTTCTACATTGTACATCAGTTGATCTTAATGAAAATATCTTTTCGTGTACGTTCACGAGAGTACCTATATGAATTTCGCCATTTGTAAATAACTTAGTTGTTCTATTCTCTAGGTGAGAACGTTTCTGCCAGGGCAATAGTAATTCGAGTGCTTTCTGATGAGGGAACTTCCCATTCCTTTCTCATTTCCTTTCTTTATTTTGTGTGCCTGTGTTATTGGATCGGGACGAACTGAAATTATATTAGAATATTATAATTGTCTTCTCCAAAAGTGTTATGTGTTAGAAGAATGGAAGCGAAATTACAGTACTGGTTACGATAGTTGGATATTGCTTTGTGGTATGAAATAATCTACGTTCTATTTTTTATTATATCATAAACTCTTAAATAATAATTACCAATTAAGAAGCAATTATAGAGCGAATTTTTTTCCTCCACTTCCGTATCATTGGAACACTGTACGTCCGGCACCGCGACGGGCACTACCTTTGCTCGACTGTTTCTTCGACTCCGAACATGAGAGAAGAGTTTTGTGACGTCACAGAGTTGGCAAGCACTGTGTTAGTCAGTTGCGGTGTATTAATTGTATGATCTTCTTAGATGAAAAATTGCTCTTAAAAATGTTAAGTGCTTCCGAACATAGAAGCTATTTTTCTGCTGTCCTGTGAAAAAAAGAATTAGATTTGTGTTTTTCGGTAGTGGATTTGAACATTTTCAGTCAGCTTACTTTAAATTCGTCTAAACGCCCAACTAACTCAGATATGGTTTGATTTCGACCGTGTGACTTCAAGTTCAGCTCATTCAAATGCAATGGCCGGCATGTGCTACGGCTGTACGGTTGCACAACTCCCAGATAATCAAAATGTATTTTATAATTTAGAAATATAAATTCTCGTTTAAATGACTTTCAATATTCAAGATATTGCAGTAACATCGATGTATGTGAAAAAATCCTTTGGAGACCCAAAAGCCCCCAACTGGCACTCTCTTCGACATCTGGTACCCTTCCAGGTATTGCACCAAGCGCTTGGCTCTTGCCTCTATTACTGCATTTAATACTTGCCCCAAAGCTTTATAACGCATTAATATGGGGCCCTCGGCGACGCAACCAATGGTTGAGGGGGTGGGGGTCACCGAGAGCTGGGCGGTGTCCCGAGGGGAATCCCAATTTTCTGTCTTCGTCCGACACTAGCTGTAACATAATTTTATGAATTCCGTGCATTACAGAAATTATTGAAAGTACACAATTTCAAATATTGATGGTATTGAATGCATTATTTACGATCTTTGGAGAATTCCTTTTCTTCTGATGTTAGTTGTTTATGCAAAATGTACACATGATTATGAGGAGTTCGTTGTGTAAATTGGCAGTTCTGGAAGGAATACACTTTCTGACTCTCACTGTAGGTGCATACGTTCGGCCGTAGTTACAGATGAACTTCAGCCTGCGAGCGTTATTGTGTGCGTGGAATATCTTTATTGCAAGATATACCAGGGGAGGGAAATTTTCAAAATATTTTTTGTGAAGAACGTGTCTAAGCCATAATGCTTGTTGCAATGTCCTGGAGTGTGATCACCATATTTTCGATCTTTTTTGTTTTGTATGAATTCTACTAATAATCATCAATTGTCTCAATGCAGAACTAATACAAAAACGTGTCCCCAGTGGAAATATGGATGTATATATGTATATATGTATATGTGTATATGCATATGTATATATATATATATATATATATATATATATATATATATGTGTGTGTGTGTGTGTGTGTGTGTGTGTGTGTGTGTGTGTGTGTATGTGTATATGTGTATAAGTGTATAAGTGTATATGTGTATATGTATATATGTATATGTGTATATGTACATATTGTGGTGGCACAAAGTTTTGGTGATTATTTTATTCCAAATTATAAGCAGTAGTTGCTAAATTTATATTTAAATTACGAAATATTAGGAAACGGGTAGTGGGGCGTGGACGGTATAGCGTAGATGGGAATTCCCTAACTGCAACGGACGAAAATTATTATGGAAAATTAATGAATAAACCCACCCGCGTCGAACCCAGTACGCATTTGTAAAGCTTGAGGCTTGCGTCAGCATTTTTAGAGCGAAAGAGCGTACAATAAAAATTTACACTTTGAGAACATTCGAGGACTCTAAGGTGATTAGTCGAGAAAATGTTGATGCGCAGTTGATTTTGACCTTTCACAGCGCGTAGTTTTCAGGGGAGAGAGAACAAGGGACCAGACACTGGAAAAGGGAGGGCAGAAGCAGAGAGACAGAGAGAGAGAGAGAGAGAGGGGAGAGAGAGAGAGCAGACGAAAAGACTGACTCCGACTGTCGATTTGAGAGGATCGCGAAGTGAGAGATGGCGTTATTTCGTACACAATCGTTTAGTAAAGTGATCTTGGAACTTGTGGAAAGATCGTTTAGCAGATCCAAGCTCGGAACGATATGGAACGTCTGAATGTGGTAACGGGTATGATGAAGTCTCTTTTTTATATTCTTTGTTATTAAAAAACTTTGTGCATAAATAGGAAAAAAAATATTAAATTTATATCAAAGTAATGATCTCATAAATAGATAGATAGATAGATTAGATAGATAGATAGATAGATAGATTTATTAAACTTCACTTTGAGCTAATGCTCGGTGGCAAACATGATAACAATTAAAATTAGAATTACTAATTATTTTAAACATTTACAATTGGGTTTACTATTAGAATTAGGGGGTCGATATAATAGTTCCAATTTATTTCTAGCTAACTCTAAATTCACTTCTAGTTTACATTACAAGTCGACATGTTCGTTAGTTGGGATCAGGCACCCGGTAATATTCATTTCGATAACTAGGAGCATTATATCGCACCACCGTTATGTTATGACTGCTGTTCGCGAAGTTCCGTGAATTATTCAAACCCTGGCGCACTCGTTTGAGGACAGAATGAGGAAGAGTGCGTTCATGACATTTGGCGTAACTTACGGTGTGGGCTGCCGCCGCCCGCAGTGAATAGCCTGTGCCTCTGTCAATGGGCCGCCCCGGGCTAGCCCAGTTTGGGAGTCTGCGAAGTTCGTTCCAGCCCCTCTAGTGGAAGGCAGCCGACGGGTTTATGACCGCCTGCAGTCACCGCGACGGAGCACTCCGTCGCTCGATGAAGTCTTTCAACGTAAAAGGTTTAAAAGGTCTTCAAGTCACTTGGTTAAATTAAAGGACTTTGGTTACTCCGGAATAAACTGGCAATAATTTAACGAAAGATTTATGCATGACTTGGCATGGTGACGCTTTGGTCTTTTAACATATTTTGAACTAATATGACCATGTAATCGAAAATTTATTTCAATATTCAGGTAACGAGCTCGTTAAGTTACATGATGTTTTGTAAATCTTGAAAATGTTAAAACTAAAATTATGTATATATTCTAATTTGAATAAGTGTTTTCTGTGTTTATTTTGAACAACCCATTCCATTCTACTGATCCAAGGTATCCCGCAGGATCTGAGCTAGCTGACGCACCAATAAGACGTCGACGCTCTCAGACATTACGCATATTATATACGTAATGTTTCAATTTAGGCCTTCACTTAAATTAGTTTTATTTAATTTTTATAAATTGCGTACATTTTATTATACATCAGTATTCTGAATTTTTGAAGTTACATTTCCGTCATTCGATTGAGATCCAGTCTGTTAAGGCACCAGCCGCCACTGTACAAGTCCTGAGTTTTGTCTTAAAAAAATAATAAAAGCTAAGTTATACAAAAAATGTTAATAAGAAGACTTGTTTTCATTAAAAAATAGGTTTTTGACATGTACATTGAGAAATTCAGTTACGACGTTTCTCAAAGAAAACAATTGTTTTAAACAGTTTTCCTGGCTTAACCACCGTACTTCCCTAGGTGGTATTGTCAACACACTTTGCCTCCAGTTCTACATATTAGACTAAAAATAAGAAAGAAGAAACGACATTAACTCGAGCAACTAAACCAAAAAATTGAAGACAAATCGAATTTTATAAAAATATATATAGTGAAAGTAACCCAAAATAGTCACAAAATTTTATGGCCAAGAATCACTCCAGATAGTAACAGTGACCAAGAAAACGTAATTACATAGGGACCCACCGCTCAAACAAACAACACACCAAAAATAAACAAACCACAACAAAAATAAACGACTTCCTACGGAATAACTGCTCAAATGCAGATAGCTCAATAGTATATCACACACATCAACATGCAACTCATCACTCAATAGCACATCAACACGCCAAATTAATAACACAAATGGCAAAGAATAACAAAATGAGAACAGAGAAGGAGACCTTCCACGAGCCAAAAGAAACGTGCGTGTGCGAACTTGTGGGATAACCTGCACTCGTTATCATATAGAGTGGTGCAAGCAAAGGAAATTATCCATAAATGAATACGCCAAAAACAATAGGGTTGTAATACTGAACAAAGGGAAACTCGCAACTTGAGTTAGAAATAAATGCACATCTGTGCGCATTCCCAATTATTATTATTATTATTATTATTATTATTATTATTATTATTATTATTATTATTAATACGTTTTACTAGCTCTGTGATCGACGCAATGCCTTATTTTCGCCACTCGGAAAGAACGCGAAGTTAATCGTTCGCGGCGTATGATGCGTAAAATCAAAGAGGTTGCGTAAATTATACAAATGTTGACTGTAGCGCCTCTAGCGGCATCTACTAGGCGACTCAATTGCCAGCAAAGCATACCGTATTAGGGCGTTTCCGTACTGCACTGTGCATCTCGAGTCACTTAATCTATGCTTAACATTGATATGTATGTGCGACAGTGGTGAATATTTTGACACGGTTTTGATCGAAAGTTTTTGAAGCTTACTGCGTTAGCCATGGTAATTATTTGATTGTGTTGAAATGTGTAAAGAGTGTTTCCCATTTCAATGATCTTGTATTACGTTAATTTACACTGTGTTTACTAGTGTGGCGTTCCGTTTTGCTTTATTGCATTGAACGTTTGTGGGAGAGACGTACCACTTTACACCCTACCTGTCTGGGAAATTAATGAAATGTTAATTGTGTATACTTATGTTTTAGGGTAATGAGAGTAGTCTGCCTATGGAGCTTTGCTCCAATTGTAAGTATAACTTTATAGCTTGTTCCTTATGTGCGCGATCACCATTCGTTTGGTGACCTATATTTTTGCTAATTGTGTATTACAGTTGATGCAGACGAAATTCGGCGATTGGGAAAAAGATTCAGGAAACTTGATCTTGATAATTCCGGATCTCTAAGCATCGATGAATTCATGTCACTTCCAGAATTACAACAGAATCCACTTGTTCAACGTGTTATAGACATTTTTGATGCAGATGGAAATGGAGAAGTGGATTTTAAAGGTAAAAGTCATATTCTCAGGAAAAGGAATAATGTGAAATTGTTGGTGTAATGAAATATTTGTGCACTTGCAGAATTTATTCAGGGTGTGTCACAGTTCAGCGTGAAAGGCGACAAAGAATCAAAGTTGAGGTTTGCCTTCAGAATTTATGACATGGATAATGATGGATACATATCTAATGGAGAACTGTTCCAGGTAAATTAATAAATAAGTATATGCCCTTTTAATGAGCCCATTTTAATTGTTGATTAAAACTAATTGAGAAATTGTTTTTAGGTTTTGAAAATGATGGTGGGTAATAATCTTAAAGACACACAACTTCAACAAATCGTTGATAAGACAATCCTTTTTGCGGATAAAGATGAAGATGGCAAAATTAACTTTGAAGAGTTTTGTTCTGTAAGTATCACTGAATTTAGAAGATCATATCTATCATTTCTTTGTCAAATTCACTGTTTGTCTGCATTATTAAGTGCAGGTATTTTGTTTGTGACTTCAGTATTGTGTTGTTGAGAAATGACATTTTTGCAATAAGATAATAGCTTCAGTGACATAATTGGAACAAGTCATTTGTTTTGCATTATTTATGTTTTACCATTTACAGTATTGAGATATTACAAAATTAGTTGCCATATACTTAAAAAATTGTGATGAAAATTAAATATAAGCAACCTAATGACAATGTAATAAGGGCACATATATTATGATCTCCTTGGAATTATGTAACCTGGCTCTCTTGTAGTTTGTTAAGTTGAATTGTTTTGTTTACTTCATCCTGGTACTGGCATTTAATTTTATTTTGAAGTACTTTGTTTCAATTGACTATTATTTGTTTTAATATCAATATCATTTTTACTTTTGAAAAATTTGCTTTGCGTATGTAATGGAAAAATAGTATTCTAAGAAAAAAATATTTCCTCCAATTTTACTGCATGTTCTATGTGGAAGTGTTCCACAGAAATAAGATTGATACAGTAATTGTGGTTGTTTCTGCACTTTTCGTTTGTGGAATAATGAATAGTTAAATTATGTATTAAGAAACATTCATGCTGGTATCAGATTGTGACTATCATTTATACCTTGGCATCTCTATGTCTATTTATGTTCAATAAGAATTTAAGCTTTTGTTTAGTAGTTGGAATACTGGAATTAATTGACTCCTAGATTTTGTTGAAATGTAGTTGCTCGTTGGATATGTATTATTCATTATCATAATGAGACACTGCTCCTTGACTCCCAAATACCTTTACAACAAAGTATAACAGACTGTTCAGTAGATGGTGTAATTTAATTCTCTGGAGTAATGTACCATACGTTGTATCAACCTCATGGACATTAAAGTTCATCTGTTGTCTATTCTTGTGTTCATGCAATAGTGTGAGTAAGCTGAATGGATTTGCAAGTTCAGAATGACAACTCACGTCAGTTGAGACTGCTACTCAGTGATTTAAAGTATCTTTCTTGATGCTTTCCGAGTGGGAGGGGATAATTTGTGCGTTGCTCATCCAAGTAATTTTAGGTCCTACTCCTCTACCAACGGGACTTCTCAAGAGCCATGGTGCAAAAGCTGGGCGTATGATAGTAGTCAGCGGTCCAGGAAAACTGAAACAATCCAGAAATTTAAAATCCCTGGGTTCGCCCAGAAATAAATTAAATTGATCTTTTTACATTTGAAAATAAATTGATTGGTTAAGTTACAAAACGAATTCGTGTATCGTAATAATGCCGGAAAAATCAAATTATTTTTTTGTTCATTGTGTTTGCATGTAATAAGATATCTAATGTAGATCTTCTATTTGTTGCAGGTTGTAGGCAACACAGACATCCATAAAAAGATGGTTGTGGATGTGTAAACTTGTGCCATTGTAACCGTTGATGCATCTTACATGAGACTTCGAGAGACAGGGGGAAAAGATTTTTTGTCATTTTGTCTCCAGCCTGCCTGCCATTCAGTGTGTATCATGTACCACACAAACATGTTTTCTTTTTTGTTGTTTTGTTTAACACTGTGCCGTGACAACTTCATAGTTTCTACTGTTACCACTTCCACTTCTACGTATCTGATCTTGCTTAAAAATAAATTGAGTTCTAATTTTATGATGTAATATGCATGATCCTTTAAATTTGATGTCCATAAATTGTTTTTTTTTTTTTTTTTTTTTAATTTCCAAATTCTTTCCATAAACGTCCATATCTGAAGGCAATGGCTGAAATATTTTAAAAGACTTTTCTAAGAGCATATATACATATTGTTGAATCTGTGCTACCTAATTTTTATTTTTATTTTTTTGGTGTGTGCGTGTGTGTCTTTCTCTCCTTTGAATATTGTTAACTCATAGCTTCACGTTCTTTATAGGGGTGCATTGCTGGTTTGTTTCCATCAACCAGTGAAGATTTTTCTTTGTGAGGGTGGGAAGAGGGAAGTATTTTGGGTCCTTTTGAAAAGAAAAAATTACGTATTACCCAAGGGAGCAACGCTTGCCCTTTTGTGTACAGTACTTATTTGTAGATTACGATGTATGTTATTGAAACGGAGACGTCATGTCATCGAGACCTGTGATGGTTAGAGATGGCTGGCTGTCTCTGTGTGTTTGGGAGTTGGTCTCAGTTTGCTTCAAGACCACCATGTATGGTGGAGTAGTGGACTTCGGGAGTCGAAAGCGGATTCTGGTGGTTCAACAATCTTTCATTGAAAGCCATAAACAATGCTGATTTTTTCGAAAAGTTGAGTCAGACTGTTTATACGGATAGGTCTGAATGCACTGATAATCTCTGCAGTTAAAGAATTCAATTAAAAAATTTTACTTATTGGTGTTAGTGTACAAACTAAAAATATAACATGTTAATGTGTATGCCTTTTTTCACTCTTCGAAACAAACTCGTGTTACATTCATCCTCTTGAACTCACGTTTTTTCTACCAATGGCCAACCTGTATAAATTAAAATGTTCATGTGTATCTCTTGTATCCATGTATTATTCATGTAAAATGCTATTTATCTGCGAATGAAACTTTGATATTAATGTCTTAGTATTCATTTGTCAGTTTATCAAACCTCATTTAAAAAGATAATACTAAATTCTGAATTGAAGATGCAGTTTCAAAAGTAATCTGTACATTATTATGAAGTCAAATTTTTGCCTTTTTAAAATGAAAAAATGGGGTCAGAATCTAAAGCATTTTGCACACAATGCACATGTATCTTTTGAACATGGGTACAGGACTTATTCTTCCATCCTAACCAAGTTTTTGCTTCATCTTTAAATATACATATTTCTATATACATAAGCATATATTATATATCCTTATCCATGGATATAACTTGTTGTTGTACTTGTGTAAAACTCGTGTGAAATCGGGAAAGTTCAAATAATTCATCTTATAAAACTGAACTGAATAACCAGCGACTCCATTGCATATGAGTCATGGGTAAATATTATTCATCCCAGGACTTGAATGGACCTTACATTTGTCTCTTCTGTGTTAAATTAACTTTGCTATGGACACTGCATGCAGTGGTACTGTATTCGAGAGTTGTTTCAAAAACACTCAGCTGCAAACATTTGAGGCAATCAAATTTTTTATTTTTGTTTTTACTTTTATTTCATCTTGTGTGTATTAATAAGCTCAGGTTCAGAGTTTTGAGGTTCGAAAAGGTTCGTAGATCTTAGATGCAAGTGGAATGATTTTTAATTTTTTTCCTCGGCCATTCTATTTTGATTGTGTTTTTGCTTCTCAAATGGAGAGGAATAGGTTTTTTTTTGCTAGTCATGTTTGTTTTTGTTTTAGTTTTTGAATATCCAAATGAGATTTTTATTTTTGTCACATTCAGACTTCACCCATTTATGTGATACCTGTGTGATGAAACAAAATGCCTGTGATTTTTACCAACTTGCAATTCACCTTTGCTCAGTTATGTAAAAGAATCTTGTACCTATTTTGTGGTTTGTTAATAGAGAAATCTCATATTCCAAAAAAAAAAAAAAAACCATTTTTTTTATTATGTATATACTTTTTTTGTCTTAATGTAAATGGTGTCACTGGTGAAAAAACATTAAAAATACTCCATTTGCATGTATATATTTTGAAATGTAGAAATAATGTAGTAAAACTATGCGATTTTTCTCTTGTCTGCCATGTATTTGTTTCTCATGAACAAGCAAACTGGAAAGAGACCCAACCGAGTAAGAGATGTTAAAGTTTATTAGATCTTCAAATATATTAGTCTATATGTTGAATAACTATTTACTACTGTTTTTTGTTCAAAGATTTATTCTACATTGACTGCTATAGAGCGCCTGTTGGGAAGTACAGTATTAAAGCTGTGGTGAAGGATGGGTCTAATTTCCAAGCTAAAAAACATATATATATATTCCAAATTTCAGCTATATATATATATTTTTAAGTTTTGTATTTCCAACTTGTACAATTGTTCTAGACTATTGTTTTGCTCTGTGTATTGTGAACATTTTTCATCAGTTAAGAGAATAAACAAATGTCCCTTTTAAATTGTAATGTTGTTATTGTACCTCATACCTTGTTGTTGCTTATGTTGAACCTCTGGATTGTCGAGTTTGTATTAATAATGGAGTATTATGTTAGAAATTTAAATTATGAAAATTTCATCCTTTACTCCCAAACAATAGGAAACTAGGTGATCATTCATTTTTCATCCCTGAAAATCCTCTGAAACGGAAACAAACTGTAACATTAATTGGTTGGTATATTTGAATTTAAATAATTCTTCAAAGCAAAAAAGTTCACCATGAAAACTCTTAAAAGTCCTTGAAATAATAAATTTCTACGTTATACCTATTATACGCTATCCTACGTTATCCTCTATTATTTGAAGGACTAGAGTAAATAGTCCTGTGCTACTTCAGTCTAAAATTTAGTTGGTAGACAGAAGTCTCTCTTCCTTTGACTACATGTCTACAGAAACAGACTTTACATTAATAGACTTGTTTATTATCATAATTCAGTACTATTATTAAACTCATTATTATTAAATATGTGCTTGAGCCAGCATTTTACAAACGCGTACCAGAAGACTGAGGGCTGTGTAGATAGTCTTTAATGTTCTTCCAAAATGTGACAGAAGGGTATCTCATCCCAACCCTTCAGATTTTTGATATTTTTTTACTGTTTAATTTATTGGAAGTTGTAATTGAGTTTACATACCAATACTAAATATGTACAAGGATTCATTTTAAAGTATTACTTTTTAAGACAATAGAAATTTCAATTTAAAAAGGTGCTACATAATATATTACACATTAGTAACAATTCATCTTCATGTGCTTTAATGATACTTCAGGAGTGGCTTGTGCATAATTCTAGAGCAGGGACTCCTATTGGTCTCAGCCTCAGGGATAATATTTTGCAGGTGGTCAAAATTAATCTGGTATTCATTTGGGAGTCATCAGTCAAATGAGCACCAGCAACAGAGCGGCATAATCATGTTGCCAGGGATTACAAAAAATATAAATGAACTTGATAATTATTTGTTTTGTTATTTAATATTTGTTTCTCTAATGCTTTCATCTTTGCACTTCTTTTGGAATTTATTATCATTTACAAGAATGAAAATTGAACTTTTGTGTCATTATAAAAATAAAAAGATAACAGTACAAAAAATAATATAAATCAAATTGTTTTCCAAACCTTTTGTTCATATTCTTTGTGTACATTGTATTTAAGCCATTAATTCATCATTATTTGCAGGGGTACCCAGAGACAAACAGCCTCATGGGGCAATTGATACATGAGGGCCTATCATTTCAAGTAAAAAATCCCTCCTCCCCCAAGTCACAAACAGAATATTAATTTCTCCATGCATCAGAAATAACTTATAGAATTAAATTTGGATTAGAGAAATTCAGGGTCTGGGGCAAGTTGCCCCCCCCCCCCCTCCCCATTCTGATTGCCACCGATCTGTGCTAAGAACACGTTTCGTTCACGATATAGAAAAGAAAAAAAAAAGGTAAGGAAGATGATGACTGAAAAAGGTTGGAACTCCCTGGGCTAGAGAAAAGACAATTGCTAAAATATTTCAAACAGTGACAGTTTTTTCAAGAAAGCAGGGCCGAATTAATCCTTGCGGGGCCCGGGGGCATTCATCATACAATAACACGATCCGATGGCTGATAACTGACAAGACAGATCCTGAACAATAGCGCAAAAGATGAGAGAGAGGAAAAAGAAAGAAGGAGAAAAAAACAAAACAACTACTGCTTGCAGCAATCCATCATACTCGAAATCTTGCTGTCATTTCATATATTTTCTTCTTGTTCAAATTTTCGCATGACACCATTTTCAGTATGTGTCAAAGTATGTTAATTGATAATGTTATACTCAGTGCTTGATTTATAAAATTTTAGGTTCCGTAACCAGAATTACAAGAATTTCCGAGTCCCCTTTCTCGAGCGCGTTCTCGATGAACAGGTTTTTCGTGTTCCTCGGTTTCGCGAAGAGTTTGTCGCTTACGAGAATGAGAGAGGTTTTGATCAAACTCTTCACTATTTTCCCCTTCCTTAATTTACGTTTTCTGTCTCTGTTCTTATTTGGAGAACTGTGTGGGGGCCCCAGAACGGCCGCCGCGTGCCTGCGGCAGAGAGGGAAGGGAGGATCGTCCTCACATTACTTTTTTTTTTAACGTTCTGTCACTATTTCTGTGACGTTCACAACAAGCCAAGAACTTGGCGGAGAACGTATTTATATACATGGAGTAATCCTCCGAAAAGCCTATAGTGATATACTATAGAATATATTACAGTCCGTAGGTCGTGTCGTGAAGAGGACCACCAGGTAACATCCCGGCGTACGCGCTTCTGCGTCACTATCTAGCGGCCAGAATTGGAAAGGAATTAGGATAGGGTAGGGTTTGGGACACTTCACACGGTTTGAATTAGCTCTTATGAAACAGCCGAACTTTGTTGGGGCAAATTTCACATCAGATTGCCCGGGAATCGAACCTGGGTCCCCTTGCTGAAAGGCGAGTGATTTCACTCCGAGCCAAGATGTAATTACCAAACAATATATTTGCTCTGATGTCTGAGGGGGAAATGTACAACTTTTGGTTTGATATCTGTGAGGCAACATAATTTGATTGAATTTTAAACTACGCGCGTCTTGAGCTCCGCGATAACGGTCGAAATCCATCGAAGTCGTTCTGAGGAGGACGCATGATCGCCATCATCGTATGGAAAGGCCATGGCCATTATGAAAAATCTTTCCATCATTTTCTATCTTTTCTTCCTGTTGTATACTCGTGCGTGCGCATATTTATATCTATATCTATATATATATAAAGATTTTTGCAGTTTCGAAGATATAGTTGGTGACAAAATTATATATATATATATATACTATATAATATATATATATCATTATTATATATATATAAGAAGATGAGATAGATAGAATAGTATAGCATATGATATTATATATTTGACATCTAATTGAACAAACTATATTTTTCGACAACTGCAAAATCTTAGCACTGAAAAAGTACATAATTAAAATATGCGCATAGTTAAATAATGGTTATGTTTAAAATAAGATTTTCAATAAAAACAAGTACCCAATTTCTATTAGAATTAGAGCAACTGAAAAAAGGTCTCAACAGCTCCAAATGTTTTCTTAACAGTTTTCGCGCGTGTACAGTAAGGGGACCTTAAAATGGCACAGGTCTAATAACTAAAATTTTGAAAATTGCATAAGTTTGAATAAATTAGTTTTTGAGCGTCAGGAAGAGCGATCACTTCCGAGTGAATGCATGAAGTGGAAACTCTGTTGACTCGGTGGACCGCAGTTCAAATCTCGGCACGGAAAATAACTTTTTGCTGATTGGAAACACTTTTGCAGGTTCCTGGGGAAGTATAATCACAGTCTGATTATTATTAGTTTATTATCACAGTATGTTAATAGACTGTAGAAAAATAGTGCGAAGCTGTTACAAATAATAGAGAAAGTATGTGGTGTTGTAGCTCTATAAGTATATCTCTTTAAATAATCCATTTATATTGCACACGTATTACATATATAATATTATAAATATTACATCTCATTGTTAATATAATGCTCTTATTGTTGTTGTTATTATTATTATTATTATTATTATTATTATTATTATTATTATTATTATTATTATTATTATTACAATTTAATATTAGGCCTACTTCTCAACCACGAAGCATTGATGAACAGATTACTCTATGTACGAAGTCAATAAGATTTCATGATCTCAACTTTGACATTTTGTAAAAAAAATGTTTAATTTCTTTGTAGAGATGTAATGGTATCATGTAAAGTGTGTTGTCTTGCTGTTCTCTGCGTGTGTGTAATATTTTGATGACAAGCATATCTTCTGCGTACTATTCTTAGTGCGTTTAAAATGGCCCCCAAGGAAAAGCGTGGTGGTCTGCTGAGTGGCATGAGTGGGAAAAATTTTTGGAAAACTATTGACAAAATGAAAAAGAATTTTGCCACCAGAGAATTTTTTATGTCCCTAGTGTTTGACCCGTGTAGATTATCTATTGTTGCGTGTGTCTTGCTTATTATAGAAATAATAGTAAATGTGGTCGTGATTCAACGTGTCAAATATACAGAGCTCGATTGGGTAGCCTACATGCAAGAAGTGGAAGGTGTTATAAATGGAACCTTAGATTACTCGCATCTGAAAGGCGATACCGGTCCGTTAGTGTATCCAGCAGGTTTTGTTTATGTTTTTACCGGCTTGTACTACCTCACAGATCGAGGCCAGAACATTCGATTAGCTCAGTACATATTTGCTGGTTTATACATAATATTTCTCGCCCTAGTGTTTCGGATTTATGTAAAGAGTAGGAAAGTTCCTCCGTATGCCCTTGTATTAGCTTGTTGCGGTTCTTATCGGATTCACTCAATATTCATTCTTAGACTTTTCAATGATCCTGTTGCAATGCTCTTTCTGTACGCTGCCATAAATCTCTTTTTAGATGGTTTATGGACGTGGGGTAGCGTTTTCTTTAGTTTCGCAGTCTCCATCAAAATGAATATTCTCCTCTTTTCTCCGGCATTGCTGTTAGTTTATTTGACATCCTTAGGGCTCACTGGAACTCTGAAACAATTGTCTGTCTGTGCTGCAGTTCAGTTGGTCTTGGGATTACCGTTTTTATTGACTAATCCGGTGAGTTGTCATTACTCATTGAACCCTCGCATTAAAAAGCATAGGCGTGGTTGCCAGACATCAAAGTTTTCCAGAATTCTTAGTATTTAAAATAGTATTCTACTATATTTTTTGTAGAGGTGTTTAATTAACTTCTTTGTGTAAGTCATTAGAGGTAAATTAAATTTAAAACTTGAAAACACCCAGAGGCAGTACCTTCTGTTCTCATTGTAGCTATCTATGCTCAGTTTTGACATGTCTTTTGCGAATTGAAGGGAAAAAGATATATTAGCAAATGCAGCAGGATTAAAAATGTATTATCATTCTTTGAAATATAATAATTTTACTAATGTGCTAAGTGGCATATTTTTTATTTTATTATCACAATTTTCTTGTGCACATCTCCTTAAGATATGTCGTAGTTTCTCCTTTACAGAATCTGGCAACCTAAGGAAGATATATATTTATTTCAATTTACAACGTTCATTCACAAGAATGATATTAATACATTAATTATTACACTTGTGTATAATTTACCTTCTCTAAGATGTTTTGAAAGTTTTGTACGTGTGGTTTGTGAAACTAGATAATATTGAATCGAATACAGATGACTAACTTACATTGCTTTGAAGAATGCAGTTTTATTTTATCCTGAACTAAACTTCTATTGGCTGTTTTGTTTCTCTTAATTTGTCACAAATTATGTTGTTAACTATGAAGCTCAAAGCATGAAATAAATGTGTGTTTAATTCTTTAAATAAAATTAATTATTCCCCTTGTAATTGTAATATTTTTTTGATACATTGTTTTTTTAATGTAAATCTTACAGATCACATAGCACATTACTTTATTTTGTGAGAGAAATGCCCTAAATAATCTTTCTTACTACAATATACAAGTTTTAAGGGTGTTTACAGCACAAAATTTAACTTTATCTTGTAATGTTTTGACACTTTAAAGCCTATATCTTTACAAAGAATATGATTTCCTATAACTTTAGCCAGACCTCTGTTAACATTTAATTTATCAAAAACAAAAATTGGTTTTTTGAAGTCAAACTCTGAGTTGGACTTGCATTTTTCATTGATTTCTTAACTGTGATTACTTTTTATTACATGTTTCTAATGAAAAATAATTATTAACTATTTACTTTCCAAGTCATTAACTTAAGAATTCTGTGAAATATATTTGATTTTAGGAATAAACCTGAAAACTACAATTACATTGGCCAATTCACAAGCATGAGGGTGTACCTTTAGTATCTCTTCAATATTTGAGTAGTTGTTAACCATGCCTTGAAGATTGATTTAGTCACTAACTTTACGTCAAATTGCAGGAAAAGAAATAGAAATATCTCCTTTCTCCATGTCTTTCAGATCACCCAGCATGCTGTTCAGTGCATTAGAAAATTGTCTTGTATTAAAGTACCCAAATCTTAATTTGCCTTTCTGTATTTTTTGTTGGGAAGGAAAGTTTACAGTAATTTATTAGCTCAATTTCCTTCAAAAGTGCAGTTTGAAATGATTTTTTATGTTTTTCTGTATATAGTATTTCTCCTTCTCAACCAAATAAAATTCACTTATTCTATACTTTAATTGTGGATGTCAAAAAAATTAATTATTCCAAAAAACATCATTGTAACCCACATTTTTGATGAGAAAGATTTATAATGTTCATGCTATCCAGAATCTACCTTGTTCCTGTGTCTGTAAAGAAAATGTAGATAGAGTTCCTGTATCTCTTCCCTAACCATTTTCGTACATAGTTGAATAATAAGTTAAAGTACCAACAAAGTGAGGTCAGCAATGTCTGAAAACTATAAATTTTGTTTTCTGAGTTGTAGAAAACATTTGAATTTATCAAACTACAAGATTAGATTTTTTAGTATTGCTAGCAAAGTAGCAACGCACACCCTCATCTCTACTCCTACGATAACTAGCTAAAGAACTACAAAACTGCACAACTAACAAAATCTGTGCATTCTGAGTTTGTGTGAGGCTGCTTTGTCGTTTCCTTTTGACTGGACATGTCCTACTTCCATGAATTGGTGTTCTTGTCACTCTTGAAATTACAACACCAGATATTTGTGAAACTTACGAATATATAAAGGATGGGAAACTATTATTCAGCAAACTAGTTACAGAGCGCAAATTAAGCATTTTGTTATAGAGAAAGAAATGTGCTTCAGGTGTCTTTCAAAATAAATTTCTTCAGTTAAGGTAACAAAAGACTGAGATGTGTTTTCTTCCGGACAATTTTGTCTTGATTTAGAAAATTCGACATTTTTGTATGTCTTTGATTTAGTAATTATTTAGATTGTTAAAATAATATTATCCTAATAAATAATAGAATACTGTTTTAAACATTCTCTTGATATTTTGCAGTATTTAAAAAAATGTTGAGTACATTTTCGATTTTCAACCAATTTTGATAATTTTCAGTTTTACACATTCACTCAAATAAGTCAACTTTTAGCACACATTTAAATACATGTGTAGTTACATAATTTTGTTGAAAGTTATCAAGGAAAAATCTCAAACATTTTTTAAATAATTTAATATGTGCACACACTTCAGAATAAAATTCACAGTGTAAGATATTTCAGATCAGAAAAAACTTTTCGAGTTCATTGCCCCTTTTGTGTGGGGCAAAGTGGGTTAAAAAATTGCCATGGAGCGTATGGTCTTCCTCTCTTCATCCTATCCATCCTTTCGTTTGCCCTTAGACATACATACTTACATACGCTACACTGAAGAGAGCTTAGGGCTTGTTCCATTCAAGGTAATGTTCCACTGCAAGGGATCTATGGTTTTGTTATTGTCATGTGGCAAAAGTCGGAAGAGTGTGTCTACTAAGCTGAATCTCTGATTAAATCTAAGATGACAAAGATGACTTCAATTATTTCATCCTTTAATTATAGAGCACCTTAACAGCATTCCCACAATACACAGATGTGAACCTATAATAGACCTCAAAAATATGCCAGGTTTTGTTGAAATTTGAAAAGAATACGTTAACAAGAACAATAGTAGATGTCTTGTGGTGACAAATTACAAACCGAAAAGAATTTTACTAATGCATTAGTTCTTTTCTTTTAGTATGTTTGTTTTCCTGAGACACTCCACCCTCACTAAGCAATATTCTATTAGGGATCATCCATAGATTACATAATACTATAGGGGCAGGGGATTTGAGACACTGTGACTCCATGCTACATGGTGGGGGGCGGAGGTACTAATTTCTTGTTTTGTAACATTGATTTTTTTTGTCCAATATTTGCTGAAATAATTCCTTTTTTAATCTTATACTTAAACATTAAAATTAGTTTTAAAAACATAAATAAATTAAAGTTATGAGATACAAATTAGTAAACTTAGGGAAATGTTTTTTCACCAACTTTTTATTCAATCTCTAAGATAACAAAGAAAGTATTAAAACTGAAATTTAGTGTATTCTAGAATCCATTTAAATTGGGGTAGTAGACTCACGCCTCATCTACGACGTCGTGTGCACAGCTTGTGATTACAAATTTTCTCACCTATGCATCCTTCACTCACAACTTGCCCCCAATCTTATTGTTAGGGGCAGTCAGCATCGCCCACTAATTACAACTTTAATTCTCATAAATTTTAAAACACAACCCAAATAAAATGATGGAAAACTATTTTTACTGTGCTATAATTAATTTTCACTTCTTGCATTTACAATGGGGAGTTGTCAGAAGCATTTCGTAATTATTAATGGAGTTTCAAGCGCACGTTACAGGTGGGGTATTCAAAATGCATTATGCAATTTGCATTACGTAATTTGTGAGAATCAGTATTTTGAAGGGTATACATTTAGGAATGATTCTCATTATTAGAATTTTGATGGGACACTAAGAAAGTCATAATTTTACTGATGCAAATTCATGTTACAAAAACATTTACATAAAAAACTTACCTACTGATATTCAAAACAATTAGTATGATAATCAAATAAATAGAATGAACACCACAATGATAAAGAATGTATAACATTTTCAGTTCAAATTATAACAAATTGCCATGCATTGTACTCCTGCAATTTGACATTAAATTTCTCCAACAAATATCAAATGTATTAAATTTTCTGAAACGAAAATTTGACCATCATCATTGTTTGATAGTCTCCTATAATAATTAGGGAGAGTAACAATTTTCTGTTAACTGTTGTTAAAAAGAATTATTATAATACCCCGTTTCATGATTGTTTATATAGTGATATTTATAATTTTAGTGTTCATAATGTATGAAAAGGATGAATTTTAATTGTATTTCTTATAATGTCACTACCTTTTTGATAAAATATAAACTTTATGTATCCTTGTTTGACTACCTATTTTGAAATTTTATCGAAAGTGTAAAATGATTATTTCATATTCTATTGTTTGTCTTGTAGGTAGCATACATTCGTGGAGCCTTTGATTTGGGGCGAGTGTTCCTGTTTCAATGGACTGTGAACTGGCGTTTCTTGCCGGAATCCATTTTCCTGAGTGGTTACTTTCATTTGGCTCTTTTGATTCTCCATCTGGCCCTATTGGCCTGCTTCTATGATACTTCCATGTCATACCTCCAAGGGTATGCTCGCCTCCGCGCAATTGAAGGCGATGTTCGGAAGCAACTCAAAGGCCGCACAGAGACCGTAAACATGGACAGTGTGTCGCAACTGCTTCTCCTTCCTCTGTTCTTGGCAAATTTTGTGGGGGTGGCCTGCAGTAGATCGCTACATTACCAGTTCTATGTATGGTATTTCCATAGGTAATGGTTCCATTATAGTTATCTTTTTTAAAATATTGTAGTAAATATTTTGGGTGCATAAACAACTTGGCATTTTTAAGATTAAGAATTGAATGCTTTTACATTTTTTGTTAACTAAAGCATCTTATGTTTACAAATTTTATGCAAAGCACATAGTCAGTTAATGTTACTTGCAATTAGTGTATTTTTTGCTAATCTGAACTTTCTTATTACCATTATGCGAGGTGAACTTGAAAATTATTTTTCACAGTAGCTACAATTTTGTAAAGCTCATTAAACTCTGTATGCAATATAGGTTAATTTACTCATATTTTCTTCATAATTAATTTAAATAATATTTGTACCTTTGTAATTGGCACTTATTTTACACTTCTTTTTTTTCTCATTTTTCAGTTTTTAATTGTTTATGTTACTAAATATATTTACGTATGTATTTTTGTGTTTCACAGTGTTTATCTTCTTAATGTATACAAATGGCTGTATTATTATCTGCTACTCTGCTACACATTTAGGATATCACAAACATAATTATTATTAATATTATTATTTAAAAATAATTTGAGATGAGGTTAATAATTCTTAATTGTAAGTTGGTTTCAAAAAACCTACAAGCGGGTATAATTAATATCTATATCCATCTATGTTTCATAAAAACTTTTCAAGCACTGGAAGGGATGCTTCCAAATTTTGCATGAGCACCTGCAAATAGCCAAGATGAGGTACACGATTGCAAAATGTTACACCAATTGAGATTACTTGCCATTTTGTTCAGGGGATTGATGTCACCCATTGTGCATCTATATGACTGTTGTCTGGGGTGACAAGGGGGGGGTCCTCTGAACTTGCCAATTATAAAACAAAAGGGACTAAAAATGTCCGTCTTTTATTTTAACTAATATTTTACTATTAATATATTTTTAAAATTAAGTATTTTAAAATTATAATTAGGGAATTAAGTTTTAAATAACACTGAACCTGAATACACGTGTTTAAGTTCATATATTCTTATGACGGATTGGACATGGATTACTTTGACCAGGGAGAGTGTTAGAAATAAATATTGGTCTAATAATTATTGTGTAGCAAAACTTGTAAATTTTATTTATATATTTATGTGTTGGCTTCTCAATCGCAAAAGTGATTGCTTTCAAATTTTGCCCGAACACTTGTAAGAAGCCAAGAAAAAAATTACATATAGGCATACTCAGATGTTAATTTCGATTGTTTATAATGACATTCCTAACAAGTGTAATCAGGCTATAACACTCTGCTACTCAAAACCCTCTTGGGATGTGTTTACTTGCATGGGGTATTGGAATGCCGCAACATCAGAGAAATAATTGTAAAAATAAAAAATTAGGTTGAGAACAACTTATAGAGAATCAGATAACTTCCATACCTGTTTTGTAAACTAAATTTGGTAAAAAAAAAAATTGTGTGCACAACACAGTGGTTAGGATTTTGCGGCCTCTGTCAACAATCACCGATATATGAGTTTCACACCAAAAACATAAGCTACGTATGGTGTCTGATCTGGTGGCTTTCTCCAGAAGCTCTGCAATGAACAATATAATTTCGATGACAGAATTAGTTATCATCACTCTTCTTAGTTCACATGAACTCTGACATTGTGAGTAGATTTAGTGCCCAATTGCCACGCTGCTGCATTGTCTTACCAGGGATAAGTTACACAGATGCTTGCACAAGGTATACAAATCTCTTAAGCCCCAATGTAAAGCTATAACTTGCAGACTACTACATTTATGTGAATGCAACAAAATTTATTTCTGACAGTTTAAATGAACACAATCTCTGAGAAGTAACAATTAAAAATTGATAGATCATGGGATATTCAAATACGCTATGTGAATACTTAAGTGTGAAACTAGTACAGCAGACTATGGGAAACAACACTAGTATGGTTAGGCTTTTAAGTGTTTGAAAACATTAAAACCCCTTGTATTCTCAGGCAATGATTAATAGATGATTTGTAATGAATAAACACCCAAGTAATGCTGGGTAATCTGCTAGTTGTATATAAATCAAGTAGTTTATAACTATTATTGTATAATTGCATTTAAGCTTTTACATAAACAAAAAAATCAACAACTTCTGTTCTATTTCGTATATGGATATCCCATGATCACAGATACTGACTTAAGGGTGTAACTCCCAAGTGAAACAGAATGAAATTTAGTTACATATGTATAGCCGTGATAATGAATATCATTTTTAGAAAAGAGAGTCAAAACAGGCCTTATTCCATATAAGGAGGCTTTGAGGTTTCACATATGAGTCTTTAACATTCAAGTTCATGTCAGTGATTCAGTCTTTGTCACTTGACACACAGTACTGTACCCAAGGAAATTAAGAGTTCAGAACTGTATGATTAATCTCATTTGTTAAGTGCACTTGGACATATTTCTTCATTGACATAAAAGTAACACTAGTCAGGAAAAAAAAACTTTTTTAAGGTAATTAGTTACAACAATCCCCCAAAAAGGATGTAATCATGTGGGAAAACAATACAATTTTCTTTTATCATTTGTACCACTAGAGAACTAAAGTGCCACTTTACTACTAACCACAACCTTCATTCTATTTTATGGGAAACTAACTGTTGCGAGTGTGGTCTTATTTATTTAAAGGTGACATTTTTCCATCAACAGAGCAAGGTATTCATAAGAGCATTTATAGCTTGCTTTCACTCAGGATTCAACTCTCGGCTTTGTCTGTAGAATTGTGTTCTTAAGGTCCACTGGTAGTCTGTACAATATTGATTGCACTTAGGGAAAATTCTGTATAAATTAAAATGATTTGGGCAAATCTCAGTTTGTTACTGCAGACTAAAATAAAAAAAAATGTGGATAACCAAAAATTTATTGCATTCGGATCTTTTTTAACATTAAATGTGTGTCAATTGAATATGACAAATTCATAAAATAATACTTTATGTGATTTATTAGTTAAATTTAGAGGATTGTTAAAACTTTTGTTTTTCTTATTGCCATTTAATTGGTGTTGAAGTGCCTTTATCCCCATTTGCGAGAGTTAACAAGAATTTTTATTGTTTTTGCTAATAAATTAAGCCAGTGAATTAAAATAAATAATTCAATTTTGTTATCATAAATGCATTTTCTCTAACATAATATAAAGGAAAGTTTTAAATGTTTGCATCCAAAGCAGTTTCCTTAGGGGGAGTAATGTGTTTCTCGTTGCAGTATTCCATACCTCTTGTGGGCTACACCTTACAGTGCCGTCTTCCGATTGTGTGTGATGGGTGTTATTGAACTTTGTTGGAATACATTTCCGTCTACCATCTACAGCAGTGCTGCTTTACATGTTTGCCATGTAATTATATTGTATGGACTGTACGGAAACAGATATCGACCACAATTGAAGCAAAAATCAACATAAAGTGGAATGTACTCCATCAGAAATTTCTGTAAAAGGATTTGAACACTTGTTCCAATTAATGAGGTGAGCAGATTTTTCTTACATGATTGAGTTAAATGTATGTGCATTGAATCTGAAATGTCTAAAATACTAATTTAAATATGCAAATAATTTATGAGATTTCAGGATGTTTTTGTTCATAGACATATTCTTTCACATATTCTTTCTCTGGTTTATAATTTATTTTTCATCAGTATCATCAACAAAGAGGACTAATGGTGCTATGACCTACTCAAAGTTTGCTGAAAAGGCACCATGAAGGCTTGAGATTCTTATACATTTTACTATTACAAAAAGGTCATGTTTGAAATTACATGATGTTCCATGTGATACATTACACAATGTTCAAACCATTTGTGGACCGAACAAACACTGGAAATATAACTACATGGTCGAAACAATTTAAGAATAGTTTTATTTACATTTGTTATTTAGCTATTCAACTAATTTATACCTATTATTATATATGAAATAAATATTTTACTAAGGACTTGTCTTACCGCTAATGGCAATGATTAACTTTCTTCTTTCTTTTTTCTTCTATGTACAGAATGGTAAATTCAGCCACATGCTTTTTTTATATTTAGCAGGGTCCTTCAACAAAAAATTGCAATAATATAATATAAAATTAATGGAATTATAAAGATAATTGTGAGATTATGTAAATTAATTGAATTATAAACATAGTGCAGGATCCTCATTTTCGGCTCCAGAAAGTAGTTTTAATTTTTCAGCATGGGAGCTGTAATATTTTGAGTGATATTTACAAATAAATGTGTAAAAAATAGTTGTTTTTTATCATAACTCTATTTGTTTTCTGTTGATATTATGCAAGTTTTGTCCATTAGCTAATAATATTTTGTATGATATTGGAAACTCAGTAATCTTTTTAAATTTTTGTCAAATCAAATGATTGTTAATAGTGACATTTTCTGTTGCATTATTTGTTCGATTCACAGAAAACCATATACACGGGATCCTCAAAGTTGTTTATCTTTCAATAGATTTAGCTTAAATTGAGGTCTTGCATTTTTGAAGTGTATCTTTTAATTTTTAGGGGTGTACTTACATGAAACCCCTGGGACGTTTTCAAAATTTTCTCATAAACTGCACCAAATTTTTTTATAAAATTTCTGGCTTCAATAGATCAAAATGTTTTTATAATAATTATAATGGAAAAAACCTTGTCTGCATAATCATCTTTAAACTTGCAAAGATTTCAAAAGTTTAACTTTTCTGCAACCTCTCCAACTTCTTGTGTTCTTTCCCACTGTACAATGTATGTTGTTAACTAAAGTATTGTAAGCAGAAATCAATAATTTTTCGACTGAAAAACTGTTGGGCCCTGGTAGCAAAAAGTGAATAAATCTTATTCCTAAATGTAGTAAATTACTTCATACAAAACATATAGTTAGAATCCACCATTTCTGGGTTCTTGATATCGAAAAATTGATTCACGGCAAAATGTTCATATATAATTATATATAACTTTTTTGAGAAATAATGTAGGAAAGAATGTGCTGTTGCAACACCTAGTTCAGGCTGAAGATTTTCTTAATTCAAAGTGATTGTTAATTCTGACAGTTTAAATGGTCTAAATTTTTCGTGTCATTCTAAATCCAATCGTGTATCAAGAAATACATAGGTGAGTTTTTCTGAAGAAACTTCACATTTTTTCTTTAAACTTTTTGTAAGCTTGAATAATGGTACACTGAATCATATGGCAAAAAAGCTACTTTCACTGATATTTTCGAATTTAAAAAAATTAAAAACAAAAATCACCTTCCATCTCAGGGGTAAATTTATGTGACCATCTTAAAAATATAAATCTTTTTATATGAACGTGAAAAGAAGTGTTGGTTGAAATACATACATTTTTGTTGCAAGGATTAGGGTCTTCTCTTTGCAAAACTGTCACAACACAATTTGTAATTTTTATTTCAACTTAAGCCATTTTGTTCACAGCCTTCTAATGGACTAATACTATTATTTTTTTGAAAATTCAAAAGACTGGAAATGCAAAAATCATTGAAAATTCAGTTTTGTAGTATTTCTGTTACTCCTCTCAGTAGCAAAGTGATTGAAAGGGTCCAAATCTTAGAAAATTAACTATGCACAATTCGTGTGACACATGTTGCAGGAAATGAAATAATTTGAAGATGGAAACTGAAGTCAACTTCCTGCAGTGCCTCAATTTTTTTAGATATCCTTGTGAACACCGTATGAGTGTGTGAATCTGTGTTGGCCAGACAATAAGAATGTGAAGTTTTCTTTTTTTTGATGAATTGATATAAACCAATGAATGCAATATTGTTTCTGTACCTCAAACCTGTAGTGTGAAGTAACAGCTCCCATTTATCTTAACAGGAATAAATACTGGAACTACCAAATGTTTATTAATTTTTTGTAAATGATATTTGTGAAGTCATAACTGTCAGTAAATGTAAGTCAGCTGTTATGGTGTCATCCAATCAGGAGCTTAAATATCACTACAGTGACATCACTACGGTGATTGCATGATTGGATGACACCATAACAGCTGATAAAAACATCAAGAGCCATTATAAATATGTAGAAGAATATTTGCTTCATGTTATGTTTGAGTTGTGCAGGCATAAATTGTACTGTACAGTACAGTTGTATGGTTAGTTACAGTGGAATATGTTTCCTGTTTCACAATTGCCAGTCTACAATTCCAGCTTCTTAGCTAACAATTAATTAAATGATGTTTTTTAAGTTGTTCAAAGAATTGACTGCCCTGAACAGGAATCAAATCAGGATCTCCCTGTATACACCTAGTGCTTAACCATTTGATCTACCAAGACAGTCAACTCTTTTGAAAAGCATGAGGCATCTGTGATAATTCTAGCACATTTACCTTATCATTGCAGATAGCTTGTAAAACAAATGAATTCTGAATTGTTAAAGTTGGACTTCTCAAATAGAATACTTTTCATAAAATTGACTTTTTGTCTACAAATTTTGGGACTTCTTAAAATGTAAAATAAATGAATTATTATGGATATTTCTTATTAACTGTATTCTGTAGTTATCTAATTACTTTCTGAGATTGTAAAATTGATTGAAATCAACTCAAAATAGCTGATTGTTCATGAAGACAGTTTTGCATAATGTGATGTATTTTGGTGTTAAATTCACTTAAAAACATTTAATGAAAATATTGGTGTCTGACATGTCACATTTCATAGGAAAATGCAATGCGATACCACTATTTATGTACAATGAGCTTTTGTTTGCCAGCGTGTGTAAGTGAATATTCATTTTTATTCATTTGTTCTCGAAACTACTTGGAATATTGAGACAGCTACTCCATCTTCTTCATAGAAGCCAATCAATGCCTCCAATTTCAGACACCATTATTTTACTTACAAACATTCATATTTATGAGCGTAAACTGACTACAAGCAGCTTATTCAAATTGAGCATTTAAATTAATTGATGGTAAAACACTTCTCAAATTCTGAAGTATGGAAATAACAACAAAAAGTACTTTACGGATCTTAAGTAGCTCCCGACTTGTGGATTGAAGTTAATGTTGTTTTGTTCATATAAGTTCTCTGAAATTTCTTTCAAACTGAGGAATCCTTTGTAGACTTTCCTTTCAGTAAGGTGGCAAATGAGCGTTTACATTTTATTTCAGGATATAGATGGTTAGAAAAGTTCTTATCTCTGTGAATTTTCTTGACTTAGAAGACGGATTATTTTAATAGATGGTAGCCCAGTTTCTAGTAGTTAAAGGCATTGTGTTTTGAGAAGGAAGGTATAGATTAAGGGATATTTATGTTTTTTTAAATTAATTTATCGAAGCAATTGTTTACATTTTAATTATTTGAAATTAATTATTTAGTTGGATGTTTAAGAATATTTATCAAATTATATTTAAAAAGTCTTACATCAATATATTCAAAAAATAATCAATGGAATGTTTTAAATATTCATCATATTGATGGAATGCCAAATCAGCCTTATAATCATAATGGTTTTTAACTTTTAAACATCCTTGACTGATAAGGCGTGTAAAAAAAAAAGATGTTGTTTTAAAATGTATAATTGTTATTGATATTTTCTCATTGGTATCCGTCCTACAATACCACATTAGAATAATAGGGAACAATATGTATACACCTAATTGCTGGTAAGGGGAGTTTTCTTAAAACAGCAATTGGTTGTGAATCATGCAATTCAAATCACCCAAGAATGTTTTCACAAGATGCATTTGTAAAATTTTGTTTTGAATTTGGTGCAGAAGATAATTAAGATCAGAATAATATTTTTTTTATTTCTTTTTTTATAGTATTTAGGCTGTTTATCACCCAAAAATGTATGTTGATATTGGCGTTTCAAAACATGAGTGACTATTTACAGATGAAATAACTGTTCTATTTGTGAACTGTTTGGTCTCTTAAAAATGTCCAACCAGGTGGTGCAAACAGCTTTGGTGACATGACAAGGGTCATTTATAATTTTGAGTAGAAATGCAATCAGAATGGTCCCTAGAAAATATAGCAGGAGTCTTCCAGTCGTTTTTAAAAAAAAAGAAAGCCATTGTTTGATGACATGTTATTAAAATGTTTTTCTAAAAGACTTGTTTCATACCTGCGTAGCAATAGGTGGAATTGCTCATTTTTATTCGATCTTAGAAAATAAAGCTTTTTATTCATTGCTTGTATGAAAACTATCAGTTATTTTATTTGCAACATAAAGATTTCATTCTCTTGAGAATTAAAAACTTTTAATTTATTTCTTTTTAAAATTGTTATTTCACTGCTAATACTTTATGGAAATGGATCAGATTGTTTACAGTTTTATTGACAATCTCATTAAAATAGTGAAAGGTACAATATGTGGGAGCATACACAAAATGTAGATATTATATTTAAAGAGACTCACTTCCTTTTGTAGTGTCAAAATGATATAAAGGACATGAGAGTAATCAGATTTCCTTCATTTGAGAAAATTAGACCCTGTGCGTGAAAGAACTACTTATTCTCTTCAATAAAAACTTAATTTTACTCCCTTGAAAAAAACACCATGAGTTAAACGTGTCATTAATTGATATATTTTAGAGTAGCATACAAACTCAATCTTTTCATTTTCTGTGTATTCTATAAGATGTTCATTATCCAAACAAAAGCATGTTTTGGGGAAACTTTTGTTGTCAGATTAATTGCCAGTCCGGGCTGATTCTTAATATCCCACTGTTATGAAATACTCTGCTTTCTACAAATTTTCTACATGTGGTGATGACACAACCTCAAAACACTTTCAATTTTTTTCACTTTTGAGTGAAACGGTTATAAATAATTCTGGATTCAGTATTCTACAAATATAGATTTGGATATAATATTTGAAAAGATTTTTTAAACTTTGCTCAGGCAAATATTAAATTTGAATTGTCAAGTTTGTTATAGTTACCTCTTATTTAGCATTTGTGTGTTTGTTTATTTCCATATTTTATGTAAATTCCCAAAAGTACCTGACAGTGGGTACTTGTGAATAAGAAGCTTTTATTATTTAATGTTACATATTATGAAGTACAAATGTGTTTACATTTGTGTTAATTCTTTCCATCAGTTATGAGCTCTCATTAATTGCTGATGATTGATGGAAAGCATTAAAAGTATTTCATTTTATCAAATTATTTTGAAGCTCATAAGTTAATTTGTTCGTTTTTCTGCTGTGATAATAAAAGCAATACAGGAATGTGTGTATGCTTAGGGATATGTATACATTTTTCTTGATTTAGCAGAGTATAGCACCTTTGATATTAGCAATCATTACAGCAGTACAGCAATGTAAAGGTGATACAAAGAACATTTTATCACTTGTTCTACTTTGTTATAAATGTACTACTGTAATTCTTTAATTTATTGCATTTATGTTCTCCTGAATCCAACATGGAATAATGACAAATTATGTTTTGAATGTTGAGGAATGTTCAGTAATTGGGTTGTTAAACAATATATTTTGTGGTACAGGTACACATTTATTTTTAATTAAATTTATATTGATAAGATTTATTTAATAGTGGTAAAATAATTGATTTTGTAAAATCTCTGATGTTTCATCATAGCAATTATGATATATTTCATATACATTTATCAAATATCTGTATAGCAAAATTAATTCTGGGATGTTAAAGTTTGACATCTCAAACAGTTTTTTTTTTGTTTTTTTTAATTGACTTGATTGTGTGAAAATTTAGTAAAAAGTAATATAGTTACATTATTACTGATATTCCTTACTAATTTATTACCTGGTCTATTTTCTCAGATCATAAAAGTGGTTGATATCAACCCCCAAATGCTACAATTGTTCATGTTTAGTCATTGTGTTAAATTGACTTTGAAAATAATAATTTTTATACCAAAAAATTTTTTAAATAAAAAGCACTAATAGAAAAATCTGTTTTTAGATAATATCAAAATCTTACAGATTTAATAATGGAAATCTAGTCATTGTTTCTGGTTGAGTATTTTGGAAGAGAATAAAGAATCCAAATACATATAGGAATAATCTTGTGAAATGTGTTCTATGAATGAATTTGTATTGTTGGTGTCATTTTATACGGGATTGTTGTATGGAATCTTTGTGCATCCAGAAAATATTTTAAGTACAAATATATTTTGTGTTTGATATGAAAATGCAATTCAGCATTTCTTTCTTTTTCTTCTCCCTTTTTAAATTCTGAAGATAATTTCTTGAATAATTCAATAATTTTTATAGTGTTGAATTCTTTTTGAAAATCATACTGATCTATCTCCGCTCAACTTCATCACAATTAGCCCAATGCTATTTCTGAATGAGAACAATTTTTAAATATTGGTTTTGCGTTGCAGAAAACATTATTTTCATCTAGGGTTTTGATTGTTATTGTGCAAACTTCAAGAACAGATACATAATCATTCATGAAGCTACAGAATCGTCATTGTAATAAAATACTTTTAGAACTACTTGCTGAAGAAACTTATGTCATCTGTGTATTTATTAATTATCAGAAAACCATCATTATCATTATATTTATTAATCACAGTCATCTCTTGAATGGGAAAAGTAATGAATTCTATGTATAGTGTATCCTCACTTGAGGTGCTTTGCCTGTCCTAGCCTACACTGCCCAAACTCTTTCATCTCATCTGCTCCTCACCATGCCCTACTTTGCCTGGCTCTACCCAATCATTTCATGTTTGCTGTAATCATCATTGCCACCAACATTGTTGTTTTAGAGTAGCTGTAAATAGATGCATTGTTGCAAACTTCAGAGACAATTGTGACCTCAACTTACTCAAAGCCTAAGTGTGCAATTGGAGTGAACTGAAACTGGGAAATTTCATGGACTTTCAGGAAAATTGGACTCTGGTGGATTCCTGTATCATTTTGAAGACGTGTAAAAGAAAGATTTTACTTTTAGGGGAAGGAAAGGGAGATGAAGGTAGTTTTCAGAAAATCTCAAGTAGACAGTAACTTTTCTCTTGTTTTGGAAGTATATGTGTT